AGTAAAGATATTGATTATAGTTTGGATAATAGAAGTTGGTAGAGCAAGTTAAGCAAGTGAGTAATGGAGTAGAAAAAGATTGACAAAATTATAGACCTTACTTATATCTTAAGACAAGAGCTATATATCTTTGTAGTTACATGTAGTATCCTCAATTAGATTATTAAAGATGTGTATAGAAGTTGCAGTAGAATTTTCAGATAGAGCAACATAGTTAAAAAGTGATAGAATAGGGTGTTTTTGAAATACAGTGCTAAGTCGATTGGTAGTATAAATTTTACGAATATGTTCTACAAGACTAATTGGTCAAGTAAGATTAAGATTACTATCAAAAGTATTATATTTGGATATAGAAAATATTCTACTATTTTTCCATTATTTGAAAATTTGACTCTGGGTAAGACAAAGATTAAAAAGAACAGTAAGAGCTTATAAACATATTAGACCAAAGTGCTTGATCATTTTATAGCTAATGCTAGTAGGTCTACAGGTTTTGCCATTTAGGAGCTTAGAGATAATTGAAGCTATTTCTTCAATTGTAATTGGTAAAATAAGAGTATTGTACTAGTCAGGATTAATATGAGTCTGTGGTTGATATTCTTGTTGCTAAGAGCTATTGAAAAGTGTTTGATTAATAGATTTATAAGCAGTCTAGTCATGAAAATGCTATTGAATATGTTGTTTAATAAGAGTTGGCTTAGTAATTAATTGATCTAGTAATTTAATATTTAAGAAATGTATTGGGGCTTGATAGCAATTAAGAATACTATTGATAGCATATGTAGGCTTGCTAACAAGAGTCTTGTATCTCTTCTCAGAAGCTTGTTGGATTTGTTAACAGAGAAAAAGAGAGTTTTCAGTATAGCATGCTTGGTATAATTAGTACCATATATCTTGAGCATAATTTATCCATTCTAGAATTTAAGCAGAATCTGAACTTAAAAGAGTTTGAAAATTGTATTGAGATTATGAATTAATGTTCTAAATTTGTAAATTAACTAAAGAGATATCTGAAGTTATATTAATATTTTTTAGATTTTTAATTAGATGACCAAGTTTTTTAAAAGACAGATATAGTTGTATGCTATAAGAGATATATTTGTAATTATAGCTATATTTATAGCTGATTTTGTTTAAAATAGTTGAAGTAGCAGTATTTATAATAGAATATTCAATCTTATGCCATATAGAGTTTATACTTTCAGAGATTTGCAGTAATAATGAAGTTTGATATTAATTGAGTTTCGTTGTAAGAAGATTTGAAAACTCAGACCAACTTTCTGAGATCATAACTTTATAATTAAATATATAATAGTTAATACCTATACGTAAACAAGGAGGTTTGCTAAAAGCATTAGGAAATGTTCAAGATGTATTAAGTATAAGATGATCACTGTGAGTACTAGTATTACTAGTATCTAGTTTATATAGCAAGAAAAACTGGATATTAAACTGATTAGTTTAGATATAGTCAATTCTGCTAAAGTAGGTATTGTTAGACTATGTATAGTGAGTGTTATTAAAATATGCACCAATATCATATATATTAAAATAGTATAAAAAGTTTATGAGTTTATATTTTGCTAAAGATCTAAAGTTGGAATCATATATATTGAAATCTCCAAGAATAATAGGATAAAGATTGTGTTGTAGAGCAAACTGAATCTAATTAATAATAGTAGTTTGAGTAGAAGTCCTTTTTGGTATATCTGTAGAAGAAAGATAGACTGAGATAATATGAAGCTTAATGTTGCTTTTAAAGAATAGATCAATAGCAATAGCACCACCAGGATGGATAAGACAATTGTGGATATATGGTTGAAGGGAGTTGTATATCATAATAGTAGCACCTTCTGCTGAGCTATCTGAATTGGCCCAGAAGTATATAAAGAGATTATTATTATAAAAAAAATAAGTTGGATTTTTCTAAAATTTTTGTTTCAGTAATGCAAGCAATACTAATATTATGATCAAGACAGTAATTTTGCCAGATTTCTCTTTTAGTAATTGTATTAAAACTATGAACATTATGCATTGCAATATTAAGGTATAGATCTCTAATATGGCTAGACTGTTGATTAGTGATATAGTTAATAGAAGTATTGTTTGTAGAAACTAAAGATAGAGTAGATGAGTTTGAAACCTCATTACAAGGATTTGTAGAAATGAAAGTAGTTCTATAGGAATAGATTCAGAATTATCTAAGCATATTTTATTGATAGGTATATCATCTGTTCTATTAGTAGGTATTGGTAAGAATATATTAGTAATGTTTATAGATCTGTAAGAATTAATATAAGTGGGAGAACAAATAGGTGTATTTGATTGTGATTTTAAAAGAATATTATAAGAATCTTATATAGATAAAATATAGTGATTAGGAAGCATTTTAGATTCATGAGGTAAATATATATATGCTTCTATTTTATTACTATTAATAGTAAATAAGACATAACATGCAAGATGCTTAGTATTGTTTTGTATTAGATATTATATATATGTATGTATATACATATATACTGGGTGATAACTTAACTAAGTAATCAAAACTATGATTAAATTTTTTTTATCAACAAAATTAAAAAATAATAAATTGAATAATTTTAATTATAAAGAAAAGTATAAATTCTAAAAGATTCATACAATTATTGTGCTTATTCTTTTCAACTAAAAATGCTGTACAAGAACTATTTCAATATAACTACAGTTGATTTTTTTATAAAGTTCTAGTTAAATTTAAACTTGCATGTTTAATATATAATTTTTTACACTAAGTTATAAATTTAGAACATTCTACAAGACAAATTCTAAAACTTATATATTAATAGAAAATCTTTAACTGCAGTTTTATTTTTATACATTTTATAAACAATTTATAAAAGTTTCAAGGTAATCTATGTCTTGATAATGAGTTGAATCATTTAGAAGAGATTACTTAATAATATAAAAAATATATATATACAGTATAATCAATTATCATATAACAAATTCTATAGTTTGCTGATATAGGTTTGATTTACTTAGTTGAGTTACTACCTAATACATATGTATATACGTATGTATATGTTGTAAATAGAAATAGAATTTAAGTAGATTTGAAATTTTCTAGTTAAATTAGGGTTAGAGTTAGGGTGTACATATGATAAACTTAACCCCAAAACAGAGATTTTATATATAAATTTCAAATTCACTTAAATTCTGTTTCTACTTACAACATATATAAAATTACTAGTTTAAGTCATGAGAATAGCAGTGTTGCTATATAATAGTATAGCTAATGCAATGAAAGATGTTATATAGATTAATAAAAAAGAAAAGCATATAGTATAAATATATGTAGTGGTTTACTGTAAAGGTATAACAACTTGTGCTTTTTTGACAAGGTTATTTTCATTAGTTTATATGAAAATCACATGATTCATATAAACTGATATAAATAATCTTGTTATAAATCATCATGTTTATATGAGTTTGAGTTCTTTAAATTGTTATGTGCAAGAATTTATTTAGATTTTGGTCTCTTAAATTGTTATGTACTAGAAAGAATATTAGGTTTCAGTTTTTTAAATTATCATGTATTAGGAAAAATATCAGTTTTTTAAACTATCTTGTGCTAGAAAAACTTTAGTTAAGTTTAGGTTCTTTAAATTGTTGTGTGCAAGGAAGGTTTTATTTATGTTTTTTAAATTGTCACATATTGAGAAGAACTTTTAAAATTGTTATTTGCTAAAGAACTAGTTCTTTTTAATTTCTTTTTAATTATAAAAATATTTTTTTAATTTATTATTTATAAAATATCATTTATTAATTATAATTCTTTATTTTTTAAATAACTTAATGAAATATTTAATATCATAGTAATAATCTTTTTTGTAATACTGGCATGTTTCACACGAGATAGTTCGTATAATAGTCTTGGTAATGATTTATATAATGATTATAATGATAATTGTTGCTTTATTGTTTTTTATTTTTTTTATTTAATGGTTAATAAATATTTGTTAGTATTTTCTATGTGGTTGTCAAGATATCTTTGCTCAAAATTAAAGAAAAATCAAAATGCCTATTAAAATAGAAATTTTTCTCTAACTTTAAATGAAGATATCTTAATAACCATCTGGCCAAATTTGATGAAACTTTTTTGTTTGAATTCTATGAATTCATAGAATTTGATTAAAAAAATTTTTATTGAATTTAGTTAAGTGGCTATTGAGATATTTTTGCTCAAAATTAGAGAAAAATAAGACATCTATCAAAATAAAAATTTTCTCATTAACTTTGAGTGAAGATATCTTAATAACTATATATCCAAATTCGATAAAATCTTTTATCTTTCAATTTTATACATTCATAAAATTTAAATAAAAAATTTTAATTGCATTTAATCAAGTGGGTATTAAGATATCTTTGCTCAAAGTTAGAAAGAAATTTGATATAGATACACATTTTGATTTTTTTTTTAAGCAAAGATATCTTGACAACCACTTAATCAAATATGATGATTTTTTTATTTAAATTCTATGAGTCTGTAGAATTCAAATAAAAAAAGTTTATCAAATTTGATTATATAGTTATTGAAATATCTTAGAAAGAAAATTTGATATAGCTTTTATTTTAATAGATGTTTTGATTTTTTCTAAAAATATCTTGATAACCACTTGACTAAATTTGATAAAAAATTTTTTAATTGAATTCTATGAATCCATAGGATTCAAACAAAAAAGTTTTATCAAATTTGGACAAATAGTTATTGAGATATCTTTGCTCAAAGTTAGAGAAAAATTTGGTACAGCTCTATTTTGATAGGTGTTTGATTTTTCTCTAATTTTGAGTGAAAATATCTCGACAACTACATGGCTAAATTCAATAAAATTTTTTTTATTTGAATTTTATGAATCTATAGAATTCAAATAAAAAAGATTTATTAGATTCAAGTAGGTAGTTGTTGAGATATATTCGCTCAAAGCTTTAAATTTTTTATTTTTATCAGGATCTACATATCAATCAAAATCATAAGTTTTGCATTTAGCACATGATCTGGTGTGTGCAAAATCACGTAAATGATATGTGTCTATAGACTTTTCTTTATATTTGACTTCCTCTGCAGCATCTACAAAATTTTTCTGAGCATTTGATGATCATTACACATATACTACAGTATATGTAATACAAGGATCAATTATATGTAAAAGATAGAGATAAGCCAAAATTATATATATTACTATATAGTGCCAATATAAAAAAAAGACTTTAAGTTTAATATTTTTTTTATTTTTTTTAAATAAATTTAAATTTTTAGTAGCAAATTTAAATTTATTGCATGCAA